CTCTGCTCTGCCCCAGGGATGGGGGGCACCTCAAAGGCTCTTGGGGAGGGTGAGCTCATGGCCGTGGCCAAGGTTTCCATCTCCCCAGCCATGGTGGAGGGTCCTGGAAGGTGTGAGGGGAGCTGGAGCTCAGCTTGGCAGCTCRGACAGGGGAGTGGGATGTGGGCAAGTGCCCCCAGTGACGTTCCAGCATCCCCGAAGGACGGGGACGAGATCAGCCTTACACATGCATGTCTTGAATTTGCTTCCCCAAACCCCCCTTCCCAGAGGCCAGGACAGGCTCACACATGGGATGCAGGCACTGGGACAGCCCCTCTCCAATTTTCCCTTGCCTTGARCGAGGCTGAAGCCACCACCCCACCGCAGAGAGCCCATCATTAGAGCTTGTTCCACGCATCCCATCCGCTGATGGACCCACAATTTCCTTTAGTCTTTTATTTACACTTTATTGCTCTTGTTTTTGCACTGGCAAAGCACTGCTGGAGAGCACAGAAATCCTTCAGATCTCGGCTGGCAGCAGAGCTCTGCCTAATCATAGTCATTATCTGGAAGCAGGTAATGGGCATCTTTCCCATGTTAATTTGAAAACAGAATCAGCGAGAGCAGGACACCGGGGACAGAGCGTGTTCCCAGCACCCGCCACTCCCTTTGCATGATTTTGGGGTGGCTTCCGTGGGTGCTGGGGTGTGGGTTTGGGATGGGGGAACACAGAAACACAGGCAGCACCACGCGCCAAGCCTCGTGGCTCAATAAATCAGCCATGAAAGGGGCTGCTGGCCGGAATCCCGCATGGATGGAGCCTGTCCTTGCTGCCACAGCAATAAAATCCCCCGGCCTTGTTTTTTTGGCGGCGAGGAGGATGATGGTGGCTCTCCCTCCTCCCYGCGCCACCGTCAGAACTTGCCCCCGTGGCTGGGTCCTTCGCTAACAAGGACTCGTCCCTTTTATCCCCAGCGGCAGGAGGGGATGGGGATGGAGGTGAGAGGCGAGGATTTCTCCCGGGGCCGGGAGGGGAAGGCTGGGTGGCGTTGGAGTTTCGTTTGCCGAGATACCATTAACGAGTGAGCAAAGGTTGCGGAGTCTCCATGGAGACAAGACAGCAAGAGAAGGGAGCGGGTGTGCGCTGGGTGAGAGCTGATTAGTAAATGTCAGCGGCACAGCCACTGCCCGCGCCGCGCTGAGCGGGGACCCGCCGGGCACCGGCACCGCCCGGGTACCCCGGACACTCCGGGTACAGCCTGTGCATCCTGGACACCGTGGGTATCTCCTGTGTACCCCGGGTACAGCCTGTGCATCCTGGACACCCCGGGTACAGCCTGTGCATCCTGGACCCGCCGGGCACCGGCACCGCCCGGGTACCCCGGACACTTCGGGTACAGCCTCTCCATCCCGGACACCCCGGGTACAGCCTCTGCATCCCGGGCACCGCGGGTATCTCCTGTGTACCCCGGGTACAGCCTCTGCATCCTGGGCACTGTGGTTATCTCCTGTGCACCCCGGACACCCCGGGCACCGCCTGTGCCCTCTCGATACCCCGGACACCTTCTGTGCCTCCCGGACACCCCGGGCATCCTGCCCATCCCGTGTATCCCAGGCGTCCCCCACATCCCGTCCATGTGCCCATCACATCGTGGGCACCCCGGGTACCCCGTGTACCCCTTCCATCCCGTATGCTTYGCTGCACCCCGGATATCCTGCACATCCCATGTGTCCTGTGTGCCCCAGTGTCCCTGTCCACCCCTGTGTGCCCCACCCCACCCCAGGTACCCCCCATGTGCCCTTGAGCAGCCCAGCTCCATGGAATCGGGGGTGCAGGAGCAGCCTGGCTGCAGTTTCCAAAGCACCCTGAGAGCTCTGGTGCTGACAGCCCTGGCTCCTTTCCCGCAGGGAGCAGGGATGCAGCTGTGCCTGCTGGGATAGGGGCTGCGGGCCAGGGAAGAACATCCAAGGCTTCAACAAGCTGCCATCTCCTCCCTCCCATGGAGAATGTCCCCTCTCACAACGCCTGCATCACACGGAGAAAGGAYGAGGCTGGAGCTGTGGATCCCACCTGCTTTTCAGCAGAATCCGAGCCCAGGCTGAGGGAATCGGGGTTGGGATGAGGCCCTGATTTGTGCCAGGGTCTGTCTGGGGTTATCAAGGGCTTGGACATGGCCAGAGCCTTCCTGGGAGGGAGACGGGAGGCAGGAGCAGCCTGGCTGCCCTTCCCCATCCCCTGGAGCATCATTTACCTCCAGCAAAAGGCAGGGAAGCACCTGGCAGGCGACAGCACCAGAAAAAGTGTCGGGGGCACCACAGTGGGGGGCTGGAGGCTGCAGTTTAGCAGGTTTTATTCGGCAGCTATAAACAGAGCAGGAGAGATAAAGGTTGCAGTGCAGATACAGATTAGGTGGGTCCCTTGAGGCTGTGACACCTTGAGATAGAGGCAGATCTTCTTCAAGGGAACGGCTTTGCTGGCAGCTTGGAAAACATGGAGCTGAGAGCCTCGAGCAGCACCTCAGCCCCTGCTCTGCACCCTCCGGGGAAAACAGGGGGTCCTGGGGCAGGCTGGGGGTGCTGGAGCAGCGTCCCATCCTTGGACTGCCTCTGGGATACCTTGGATTGCATCTGGGATACCTTGGACATCCCACGTGTCCTGAGATCCCATGGATCCCACGTGTCCTTGGCATCTCAGGTACCCCATGAGCCCATGCACCCCAAGGACCCCATGGGCTCACGCACCCCAGGCCCCGGGCACCCCAATCACCCCATGTACCCCACGCACCCCAGGCCCCGGGCACCCCACCCACCCCGGGTGTCCCATTCCCTCCTGCCAGGGTGCAGCACGGGGCGCAGGGAGCACCAGGAAGCAGTGACCGTCCTACCSAGGGGGGACACATGGAGAAGGGTAATGCAAAACAGGCAAGAAATGGCTGCTTCAACTCATCCGTGTGTCCGTGTGTCCCAGGAGGATGCGGAGGGATGGCAGCAGTGATGGACAGACCCAGAGCGGGCACAGGCTGTGCCAGGGGCACAGGAGCACAGACTCGAGGGACAGGCACAGCTCCCACCGCAGTGCCCGCGCAGTGCCAGCTCTGCCATCGCAGCTCCAACGTGGATTTGCTTCCCCGCGGGAGCGCTGYTGATTTACTCCCTGTGGCTTGGACTGAGGCAAGGAGGACAGAGCAGGGACGAGATGGATGTCTGTGCAGTGCCCTTCACCTTGCTCCCTCTTCCCCCTCAAGTTTGGTTTGATAATCAGGCAARGAGGGAGGATTTAATATCCAGGGGCACCAGCAGAAACATGGAATGCCGTATGATGGTGGAATTTCTGACCAGATCTCTGCTCCTGCAGTTTCTGGAGGGCATTAGCATCCCCCAGCCCCACCGAGGACTGGGATGAGCTGCAGGATGYGACCCCATCCCTGGAAGTGTTCAATGTCACACTGAACAGCTTGCAGTGGTCTAGTCAGAGGTGACCCTGCGCATGAGTTTTGAGATGAGCTTTAAGATCCCTTCCAACCCCAGCCATTCCAGGATTGTGTCTCTGTGCTGTGCTGGAGGCCGGGCAGGGAACAGGGCTATTCCAGCCCTGCTGTCAGCCCCACCTGCTGCAATGTCCCAGTGGGACTGGGGTGCAGAGCGCCGTGTCCCCACCAGCCCCGTTCCTTACTCCTGACCTGGAACTGACTCTGTTCCCAATCAGGCCATGGGCAGAAACCCAGGAGGGAGCCCAGGTCAGCATCACCCACATTGCAGCCACCATCGCTCCTGCGGGGCCAGCCTGGAGGGCAGGGGCCAGCCTGGAGGGCAGGGCAGGGGGCTGTCAGCTCTGGGGACCCCCGTGACGGAACCCCGA